GTGGCCTCCTTCAGACCCGCTCCAATGGGTTGATGGCCTTTAGGAATGTTCAAGCTCAGCAAATTGCCTTTACAGCATTTTAGGCATATGAGTGGCAGAAAGTGTTCCATGGAAAAGCACCTTTGTTGAAAGTGTTCCTTCCCAGCTTTCTGTGCAAAAGCCCATCAGCTTCACCTTCTCCTGGACAGGGACCGCTGTTCCCCTGGAAAAGAGTGTTCAGCAGGAATAAAAGTGAAGTAAATGTTACGTGTTGTTTACAAGGCCCTCTGGTTTTGTTTTGCTGTTTTAAAGGCAGCAGCAATTAAGCCTCAAACAGGAACTCAGACACTCAGATATTTTTTCCGGCTAGCAATTCTCCCGCACACATGCTGTGAAATTGGGTCAGGGGTTCCGGGGTTGTGGGTCACCCCAGTGTGACACTGCAGCTGTGCTGTGTGTCAGGAATGCCTGCAGACAGCATGGGAAAGCAAGCTCAATCAGAGAAATAAAAATGAAGCGAGTGTTTGCATGTTCTCAGATGAGGCAGAGCCGGGCAGAACGCGGCGCTGGGAGCGCCTGGATCCCAGCGTTCAGCACAATATCTGAATGAAAAATGACAACACTTTGTCATCTGTTCAAATTGATATTGCACTCTCGGCTGTGACAGCTGAAAAGGCCCACAGGTGCCATATAAAGAGGTGACCATGTTGTCATATTTCATTTAGGCATCCCTCTGCAAAGCCATAATTACCTAATTAGGTTGTTAATTAGGAGATTAGCATTTCGCTATATTGATAGAATGCTCTTTGCAGGCATGAGTCTAGATACAGCTTTGTCTGCCCTAATTTATAATCTCTGCATTTTTTATACTTATTTATTTGCTTAAAATCTTGATGCAAGATTTCTCAGGTTAGCGGAGAGTCAACTTGTCTGCAATTAAACAAAGATTTGACATGATCAGGAAAGAGAAGAGCGAATACTTCCCATACATACCCCAGTATTTTTCCCACCTCTAAAGCTCAGTAATTAAAATGTTGGAATTGGTGTCATTTGCATCCTGATTAGTGTGACAACAAAAGTATAGCCAAATTCCAAGCAGTTCAAAAATACAGTGCTAATGCCAGATTGATTTACAGGTCTGGAAATGAACAAATAATTTGTTGGAAGTTGTGTGTAATGTAGTGTTTGCTCATCATAACTTCCCAATTCCAGTCTCTCGTGTGAGAGAGCCTCTTTATATGACTGTAAATGATTATTTCATTTTTAATGATAGGACCAGAGTGTGAGTGACAGCTTCTGCAGATAAGTATTCACTCTTAAATGCACTTGAGCTTTTGCTGAAACATAAACTTGAATGTTCATATATTTCAGTTCACTTTCCTTTATCCTGCCTGTCCAGGACCTGTCTGTGTTTGAGGGGGTTGATTATTTTTGCTGCTGCAAATGCAGATAACCAGAACAATTTCTTGTGCAGTTGCATACAGAAGTTGACTGGGAAATTATTTCATATAACCTGAATCATAAATTTTGAAGTATGTTCATGCTGTCCTGCTTATATGACACTGGGGGAAAAATCAATTTTTAATTCTAATCTGCCTATCTTTTTCATTAGTTTTTAAAGATCACTTTGAAGAGCTACAGTCAAGGAGGTGTTTGAGTACAGGGACTATGGGAGGCCCTGAATGATAACATGACCTGCATTGGTATATAATTTTTCCAAATTTCCATGTTTTGAGTTTGTTAGCATTTGTCTTCAATCCAAATTGTACCTTCCACAAGTTGTGTCTTTGGAATACTTTTGTTTACTTTGAATAGGGCTTTAATTGTTTGTTACTTCCTTAAGGAACATAGTCAATTTAAACAATATTAAAACAAACAAACAGAAAACCAAAAACAAGCTACAGCTTTGCAGAACATAAGGAAAGAAGCTTACTTTTTTAATTTAGAGAGGAAGATACATGGCAGGAATTGGCTTGAGAGTTTTGTGGAGAATTTGGAACTCCTTTTAGCCATTTGAAATGGAGAACTCTTAAAATCATTCCATTAAAATCGGTGGAACTTCAAAGTTTTAGCTCTTTCCTGCAGCAGAACATTTTTAGTTGCTGACAGCTTTCTCTGATTTTATTGTTTCTTGTAGCTTATTTAGCAGTCTATGTATTTCAAAGCATGAAAAGCAAAAATATCAACCCTTCACAAAAGGAAAATATTTGCCGTAAGATGCCACAGAAAGGTGGCCCTGGCTTGTCATGTCAGGGCCACGTCCTGAAATGACGTGTCAGATATGTGCTGGTGGCACCACAGGGCTTTTGGTGGAGCTGCAGATTCTGACCTGGAGCCTGCGACCTTTTGGGGACAGGTACAGGGTGTGGAAGTGTCTGTTGGCTCTGGTGTCACCTCACCAAGAGAAATCCATAGTTCTGCTGGAAAATGGGACAGGACCTGCAGGAGGGCACAGGGCTGGGGGCAGTGGGTGGCAGAGGGGGGCCCTGCCCCACTGCTGGCAGCCATGGAGGTGAGACACGGCTGCCCCGGCTCTGTGCTGCTGTGGGGCAGTGACAGGGACGAGCCTCCTTTTGCTGGGCAGTGGGAGCCAGGCATTGTGTGCTCAGTCCTAATTCCACAGTGTTCATTTAAAAAAAGCCAGGAAATGCATGCCAAGCTGGCTGCGTTTTCCCCAGCGTGAGGAGAGCTGCACTCAGCATTTTTCAGGCTCAAGGTCAAACGTTTCCCCTGCAAAGGGTGGTGAGCAGGGCTGGCACGTTGCTGCGGTGCCCCAGTCAGTGGGTCCAGCACCGAGCCTGGCTCCAGCTGTGCCTGCTGCTGCCTGTGCTGGCACGCCCTGGGAGCAGGATGGATGGGCGGATGGCAGCCAGGAGGTGTAGCTTGTCCTTTCCCCAATCTCAGCCTTGCTTTCATATCTCGTTGTCACCTCATGCAGGTGAACATGCAGGTATGATACTCTGTGTGGGGCGTTTGGTGGGGAAGCAGCAACGCCAGCCAGGCTTTATTTAAATAATTGCAGTACACCCAGCAAGCAGGAGGGTCACAAGAACAGTTAACGTGTTGTGATGATGAAGTTGCCTCCCGAAATTCAGCTGTGTTCAGCTGTGTGTTTAAGGTACAGCCTGCATGGCTGCAGATCCTTTTCCAAGACCTTTGTGTCACCTCCTGGCAGCAGAGTCGTTTGTTAGCGCGCTCTGCATTCCTCATTGTGTGCGGGGTTATGAATGAGCCTGATCTGCATAAAGGCTGCTCGCCTCGCTGGGAGAGCCCGTCCCTGCCATAAATACAGCCGTGGGGTGCTGCAGGAGGAGCACTGCTGCTGGAAACAGGAGATGCAGCTGCCTGATGCTGCCAGAGTTCCTGCGGATCCTGGCCGGGCGTTCGGCCTCTTGACGGTGCAGTTGGACATTGGTGGGGATGTTCTGGGGCTGCCCCAGCCTGGTGGGGGCTGTGCTCCCCAGGGCCTCGGGCCAGGGCAGAATCACAGCAGTGGGGCCAGGAAGGGGAGAGGGAGCCTTCATTCCCAGGGTGCTGGTCAGACAACGTGCAGAAAGTTAGATAGGTGAATAATAAAGATCAGAGGAAAGTGAAGATCTCTGTCCACCTGTGTGATGGTCACGGGTGTTTGCCAATCTGTACATCATGGAAACCCCAGCCTGTGTATGCTGTTGTACAGAAATACCAAACTCTAAAATTTTGGGGATTTCACACTGGTCTCTTCCATTTTAGTGTTTGCACAGAGTGTGTTTGACAGCTGCCTGCAAAGTGCTTTACTCAATGGAAGAGTGTTATTTATATAGTGCAAGTATTAGAAGAACATTTATTTTTTCTTTCTGATTAAAGAATGTATAAGATCTGATGCTTTGAAGGTCCCTGAGTTCCGTTACATTCTGAGGATGTGGTGAGGTGTGTGGGTGCAGGAGTGCAGAAGGGATGTGCTGGCAGATCGCAGCAGATCTAGACATTGATTTTGGGTCTGTGATTTTCCTGGAACCTTCAAGGTGTTTGTGTAAAGGTTTGCGAAACAGAACTTTGCTTCTTTGTGTTCTTCTCTCTCAGTGGAAGTCACTGTTCTTCACAGCAGGTCTGTGCCTTTATCAGCAGGAGAACTGGTTAGAGTTCTGTAGGCTACAACTACTAAATATGGCATCAAATTTGGGGGTCTGAACTTTTTGTTTGTTTGTTTTTTGAAGGGTATTAACTGTTCAGGGAGTTTCCAGTTAGCACTAATATGTTGATAAATGAGCTTTAATGTACCTTTTTGAAGATTCTGAAGAGGAGGAAATAAAAATATGTTTGTGTTAAACTTGTGTAGAATTTCCAGCACTTTCTCAGTGTTGATGTTTATGGGAGATGCAGTTGCACACGTACAGTTGGGAAGAAGCTTGGCAGATTTAGCACACAACTGTTAATGGCAGAAGTCGGGGTGCAGAGTATAAAGGTAAAACTCTCGCATCTGCTGTTACATGTTGTTAACTCCCTCAGCAGACATTAAATCATTTCAAGTACAATAATAGTGTGGGAGGTAAATTAACTAACCATTAACAATCTTATAAATACACAATTAACATGCCAACATTTATATGACACATTGATGGGGCAGCAGTAATTTTTGATTGGGAGTTTGCAGACCTTTCTGAAGCCTGAGGCTGTTGCTTATTTAAACAAGTTTCTGCCAATTGCAGGTACATGTGGCCTTTCCTAATCAGTGAGTAGAAATAAATCAATTTAAAGAACATTCTCAACATGTATTTTGCCATGTCCATAAGCTGTACTTGGGTGTGTCTGTGTTTTTCAAGCCCCGCTGTGCTGGTCGCACTGGTGCAGGGTCAGAGCCCTGGACACATCAGTGCTTTGGGTGGGACACTTGCCTGGTGGGCTCTGCCTTGGAGGACAGTGAGAGCTCCCTCGGGAGCAGCCCTGCTTGCTTGGATGGAAAGAGTCAGAAAATTAAAACAGAGTGCTGCTGAGGCTGGCAGGAGCCTCTGGAGATCCCATCCAAACTCCCACCTCCAGGCAGGGCCAGCAAAGCTCCAGGCTGTGCCCCGGTGGGCTTTGAGGGTCTCTAAGGATCCTGCTGGAGTGAATTTCACTAATAGCAGAATTTGTGGGGACATAAAAAGAGGATATGGCAAAATGCATTCACTGGTTCTGGAACAAGCCTGGCTGGTCCTTTCTGTCCCTTGCCTCTGTTAAAACACCCCAGAAGGCCAGCTGCCTTTAGCAGATTTTCATGGGAAGTGGATTTGTGTGATTTAGGCAGCAGCTTTGCAAGCAGCAAGGACAGGAGATTGCCGGTGTTTCTGAGTTCAAAATCCCAAACACACACATGCAGTTCTGTAAAGTGTTTTCCTCTGGTTAGAAAAGCAGTGGGGATTTCAAACTTCTGGAATTTGCACCTGATCTTGCTCCGTGTGTGAGCTCAGACCGAGCCCCCTCAGGTGGAGGTGTTCCCACAGCTCCTGCTGCTGCTCACTGATGGACTCACTGCATGAACAGGAATAATTTTTTTTTTCTTTTTAGGTTATTTTCAGCAGGTAATTTTTTGATCCAGCTCACCCCACAGCTCCACTGCCAGCTTTGAGAGATGGTGGAATTCCTGGAACAGGTCAGGCAGGGCATGGAGCTGCCCCTTTCAGAGTCAGCCCGGGCTTGAATTAAATTGGCATCACTACAGCCCCACAGCTACAGAAAAATCAGATAACAATGTGAGCGTGGTTTGGGTTTTGTGGTTTGGGGTTTTTTCCTTTTCCTTTTTGCCCTCTACTTTGTTTCAAAAGGCCACTTGAGTGCTCTGAATGAAATATCTTAGGTAAGTGGCAATTACTGTTCTTAAAGTGCTTTAGAGCTCAGGCGTGTGGTATTTGGTCACAGAGCTTTCTGTGTTACAGCAGTTGCCCTGTGTGAAGCACCATGCAGCAGCAGATGTTCAATATTCTGCCCTGAGACACTAATCTCTTCATGTTTAAAGCTTTTCCTGGAAATGCAAAACCTGAAGAGAGTCTGTAATAAGTTACTCAAAAAGTTGGTGTGTGGATGCAGAAGCAAAACAGAAACACAGTTATGATGGGTGAAAAGAAATCCAAAACCCTGTCGGTTTTGTGCATGGATTAGTTGGAAGAGGCAGATGTTTCTGCTCTGGATTCTCTTGCCATCCTCCTGCGTGCAGCACTGCGGGGTGTTTTGGCTTACAGCAGCCATGTGTTGTAGAGTACTGGGACCTGTCTGTAGGGATTCTTGTGTTCCATTGTCCCGGGACTCAGGTTTCAAGCTGTCCTCCAAACCCCCCATCCTTAAATGGATCTCAGCAGCCAGTGTGGCACAAGTAAGCTGGAGCACAATGAAACAGCTTGCCCCAGGTCAGTCAGGGTCACATCCCAAACAACACCTTTGGGGAATGGGGTTTGAGCTCTGTGTTTGCTCCTCAAATGCCGTGTACGTTATTCCCAGGTGCGTGTGTGCAGGAAGCAGGATGGAGAGGAGATAGTACAGTGAGGCGCCGGCCCTGTGACAGAATGGCTTTCCTGGACAACCCCACCATTATCCTGGCTCACATCCGGCAGTCGCACGTGACCAGCGACGACACGGGGATGTGCGAGATGGTCCTGATCGACCACGACGTGGACCTGGAGAAGTTCAACCCCTGCCCGGCGCTGGGGGACGGCGCCTCGGAGCCGCAGGGCAGCGCCGGCGAGGCCCAGGGCTACGTCTACTCCCAGTCCGTGGACATCACCTCCAGCTGGGACTTTGGCATCAGGAGGAGGTCGAACACAGGTGTGTGAGTGTGCAGCAGCTCTGCCCTTCAGCCTCCTGAGCCTGCCTGGCTGGGCAAGCCAGAGCCTGACCAGCCTGCTCAGCTGTCTGTCAAACCCTTCTGCAGTGCTGGGGCCCTTCTATAGAAGGATGTGCAATGATTCAGTTATTTAGTGTGCTGTCAACTCAGCCTTAATTGCAGTTTTACCTATTCCTGCACAGGGGAACATTGAGGTAGTCAGTTTTATATATATATAAAAAAATTCAAATTGCAGAGACATCAAATCTAAATCCAAAGTGCATGAACAGTCTTTGATATCTCTATTGTTACTGTCTGGAGGGGTGTTAACTTTTGAACAGGATAGTTATTTTCTGAGAAAAAATCTGCCTAGTGAGGCATCAAATGTATTTGTTATAAAAGAGAGGAATGAAGTTTGATGTGAGCTAGCAAAGGGAATGATTTGTCTGTATTTTGTCTCTTAAAGTTTTATTTCTGAGAAAAACCTTGAGCTAGTGTTTAAGGTACCAGATTAGTAAGTTTAAGGGTGAACACCTTTGCAAAATACACTCATTTTGTCATGACTGAAAGCTCTGCCAGGTGGTGTTTCATACAAGGGATATCCAGACTTTTGCTTAGACCTGAGTAATATTATGATCAGGAGTTCTGTGAGGTAAAATACAGGTGAGAAGGTTGGTGTGTGGTGGTCAGTACTGACCTCTCTTTTCCTCTTTCTGTATAGTTTTTTAGAAATGATTTCTGCAGGTATTATAACACCACCTAGAGCCCAGAAAGCACCTCTGTGCTCTGCTTCTCCAGCAAAGTGTGTGTGGTGTTGGAGATACTGAAATGCCTGTTGCAAGGAGGAGGTTGTGAGAGGCTCCAGAAATCTGGGGCACTGATCTCCTGTGGCAGAGAGTGAGGTTTGGAGATAAACTGAGATTACAGCCCAGCCTGGCAGCAGGGTGTGCTGGCAATCCGGGGTGCCAGGCTGCCCTGGGGCTGGGGGACTTCAGCCCGTGGCGCAGCTCATGAGGGAGGAGAGGCAAAGTTTGAAAATGTATGGAATTACTCCAGAAAACGATTCTGAAGGCTCATTTCACCCAGGGAGCAAACTGATGGAATAATCCCCATTTGAGTTACAGTTTGAAGTAATCTCAGGTGCCAGCTGGGGGCACATTCTAAGGTCAGGGGAGAGGGCAGTGCCAGGGGCTGGGTGAGCAGCAGAGTGCCCAGGCCAGGAGCAAAGGCTCAGCTCGGGGCTGACCATTCATGAAACCTTTGGGCAGCCACCAAACTCTTGGTTTGTCACACCCAAAACTGTCCCTGGCTGCCTGTGACAGCGAGCCCTGAATAAGTCACATTTCTGATAGGTGCTGGCCTTTCCATCTGCTTTGGCACTGCTGTAGCACAGTCCCACAGTGCAAAGGACATTTGTGATCAGCTCTAGGTGGAGGAACAGGATGGAGACAGGGGAGCTGCTGCCTGTGCTCTTGGACATTTGTTTTGGCAGGGGGTGGAAAAATCAAACAGGATAAAAACATGCATTATCTTGTTTCTAGTCTATGGTTTTTCTTTAATTCTTTGTTTACCTGCTCATCTAACAGATCTTTTATGATATTAAAGTATTATTTATTTATATTTTCTGATAGCTCATTTGGAAAGAAAGGGTTTTAAAAGGCAATTTTGAGTTTCAGCGTGGGCAGTAACTAGTACAAATGTGGAGCTTTTCTTTCAGAATAAAACATCTATGCTACAACAGTGTTTTCCCAATATTTAAATTTATGAGAAGGGATATTTTTCTTATTTCATTAAGGGGAAGCTACCTAAAGGTATTCAGGTTCTAGCATCGTGTTGTTAATGGGAGATACTTATCAAAGTCCCCCTTTGTTCTTGTACCTTAAACTGCTTGCTACAGCTGTTAAACTTCAAAGGAGTATTTTTTATCAGTTCCCTCATTGACAGTTTTTACGGGGAAAAAAAATTACTTCCTTGTCCACAATTCTGTTCAGAGACCTAAATGTAAAAGAATAATAACAGAAGGGATAGAAAATATTTATTAATGTTTTTTAATTGCTGAAAAGGCTCAAGGAACTCCAATTGTATCCAAAAATTGTCAGAGCAATTTAGCATCTTAGAATCTCTTCTACAAACTCATTTTAGTTAATGAATTATCTCAATACATCAAAGCTGCTAATATGTCCAGCAGATTGTTTCCTTTGGGGATCAGCACTGTTAGTTCTACTTCCCAGTCTCATCTGCCTGTTTTCAGTGGATGACATCAGTGGTTTCAGGGGTCATTGTCTTGGTGGCTTCCGTCAGGTTTTTTCCCCAAAGAAACTCTTACTGGTAACAAAAAAGGTAATTTAAGTTGTTGTCTGGTACCCTGGGCTGTAAGTCCTTTGGCATCAGAACTATTTGGGGCTTTTTTTCCCGACCATATTTTGAAGATGGAGTCAAAATATATGTAAAAAAATATTATATTCATTTTAGGACTTGACTAATGTTGTGAAGATACAAATCATTTATTTTACTACCTATAAACTGTTTCAGCCTACTGAAGAAAAAGCTGTGCTAATTTATATCGCTTTGACATTTTATAATTTTCATGATTTTTAGATAAAGGATTTTATATTTAAAACTTTAATAGTCTAGTCTGAGTTCATTTATCTTTAATTTTTGAAACGGGTAGAGTAATTCATAACAGTAATTTTATTCCTGTAATGTAATATTCACTTCAGTTCATTTGTGCATTAAAATTCCTTTAAGACCGTTATTAATGATTTATATAATGAAATGTCATATTAATCACAGAAGTTTTCACATTTTATTATTCTCTTCCATGTTAATACTATCTTTATGATCTCTATTAATGTTTTATATCCTCTAATTTCAATTATAAATCAAGAACATTTTCATGTTTTTGTTGGTATTTGCTTTTCAGGGGTGCCACCTTTAAAATTTTATGACTTTTCCCCCTACATGTGCAGTATAAAACATCTTTATTCATATAAAGGTAGTTAATTATGTCTTTGTTTATAGTAAACTTTCATTGACAAACTTATAGTTGTAATATTTCTTTTCAAGCTCAGAGACTAGAACGTCTGCGGAAAGAGAGACAAAATCAAATAAAATGCAAAAACGTTCAGTGGAAAGACAGAAATACTTCTTGCTCAGGTAAAAGAAAATCTCGTTTGTTTTCCTACTGGTTTTATTCCCGCCTTTGATGGTTCCAACCTCTGCAGCGTGCGGTTTCCCCCGGGGTTTCGGGGCACGGAGGAAATGCCAATTCTTTGTGCCGTGCCCCGTGCCAGCCTGGCCAGGGTGCTCAGAGCAGAGCCAAGGAGAGGAGAAGTGCTGGGCACCCACCCCGGGCTGGGGACTCGGGCAGAGGGTCCTGCACCCCTGGGCTCGGGGCTCCTGCCACCTCGGGGCTCTCAGAGGGACCCAGGCAGCATCAGCGTCCCCAGGGCACCTCCAGCAGCCTCTGCTGCCATGGAGCATCTCATAGAGTTTACTTGTACAGAGTGTTTTTGTAGCTACTCCTTTAGATAAGGTGCAAATCTTAAGAAATAAAGAGTGTATGTATGATCTACTTAAATGCAAGCATAATAAATGCTGGCTTGGCTTATCTCGCCTTTCCTTGGTAAAACTATTAGCACTGATTTCTCAAAAAATATTAAATTCTAGTTTTGTTAATTATATAATTAAGTGTTCTTAGACTGGATGTTCTACATAGTTTATATTGTAGCATATGAAATTACAAATCTGTCTCAATTTTCCTATTTTAGAGCTCAAGCTAGTTTCTATTTCTGTTGTATTTGACAGACATTCAAACCTTTGTATGGTCTGTCATGCCTCCTTCTTTCAAAATTTGTGTATATCTTAATGAGGTCCGTCTGTAATCTCCCTTTTTTTGCCTAATTCCTCATATCTCCGTGGCTGTCACTCGCAGAACGTTCTCCAGCACTCTTAATATCTTTTTCAGAGGAGTGAACAAAGCTGCTCACACGAGCAGCATGGTCGCACTAATCCTTAATTCAGTGTTCAGCTGTGTTGGATACCCCTGTTAATGCATTCTGAAATGTTTTTGCCTTCCTCCTTCTGTAAGCAGAGCTGTAGGTTTTAAAGGTTAATCTACCATAACCTCCAACTCTTTGCTCAGTGTTTTACAGCATTTGGCCAGTGATGGTGCAGATCTCTCCTGTGCCTCCTGCACTCTGAGCTGGCTCCTGGGGGCTCCATGGTCACATCCCCTTCCCCCTCAGCTGTCCCCAGCAGCCACTTGTCCCCTCTGAGGAATGTGCTGGCATTGCAAATGCATCAGTCCCTGCCTGCTGCAGAGCAGATTTAAATAAAAAATAAATCAGTTACACAAAACTCCAGGCACTCGGGGCTATTGGCAGAGCTGGATTTCCTCCTCTGCTTGGCCACTGAGATCAGAGTGCTTCTCCCTTACCTGCATGAACAGCACTGCAGAAAGGAGAAGGAGGAGCCCTTCAGGATCTCCTCTGTACCTCTGCATCTTACATTCCTTCATTTCAGAGCATGTAAAGTGCAAATTAAAATGTATCAAGGAAATCCTTCCAAAGTCTTGCATTCAGCCCATGCTGGCATGCAAGACATACAGAATAGCTGTAGATAAAAACTTGATTTTTCACTTGTATGAGTAAAACCATTGTATTGGACTCCAATGTCCTTTCCAAGTGCCCAAGAATTATCAGTTAAAGGTAATACTTCAGCATAATGCTTTAGATTTAAAAAAAAAAAAAAATCAGTTGCAAGAGCTTGTTGAAAAACCAAAACAACCTAATGGAGTTAAAGTGGTCACATTGAAAGGGATTAAATCAAGCTTTTTTGGTTAATTGCAGCCTCTCACAAGCCCGCTGGGGATCTCTCAGTGCCAGTATTTAGCACCTCTGCCAACTGCCTGAATTTTAAGGCAATCTGCTGATAAAAATAAATGGAGCTTTTGACTAGTTATCATTTGACAGGTTTTAATTTTGCACTCCAAGAAATGAACCAGCTCCCTGCAGATCAAGTGCCGGGTCATTCCCTTTTGGGAACAGTTCCATTTCCCTGGGGAAGCAAGATGTGGATCTGTGAGCTGTGGGGGCAGCCCGGGGCAGGAGTGCCAGGCTGGGCAGTGATGGATGGGGGCTGGGGGCTCTGGTTCCTGGAGCAGCTGTGGAACCTTGTCCAGCTTCAGACACAGCTCCCTGTAGGTGAGAGCCCTTGGTGCTGATGTGCTCAAACACTCCAGCTCTGGCCTGATTTCATAGTGGCCTTGTAACATAAGAAGTTCTATTTTTTAGGGTTTTTTAAAGTATGGCTGTAAATTGGAAGTTGAGCTGCTGCTGGACATTCAGCTGTGCACTTTCTTCACATAAAAAGGCTTTTATGAGCCTTCACAGACCACACAAAGACCTCCTGAACTTGCATCCCCTTTGTCTTTAGAAAGCTTTTTTGTATTTATTGTTCAGACAGTTGATCTGGAATGGTGGTTTATGGTTGGACATTTTTGTGAGGGGAGGCTGTGTGCAGTGCCCCATGAGAAGGAAAACGTGCAGAGCTGCTCCTGTGCCGGGGCTGCAGCTGGCAGTGCCACTGCAGGCAGAGCTGCTGTCCTGTGCTGTGCTGGTGCTGCTCCTGGGGCAGCAGCTCCTTTCCTTCCTGTTCCCTGCTCCTGTGGGAGAGGGCAGGCAAGCAGAGAGACTGGGAATGTGTCATCCTCTTCATTGTTCTCCTGACTCCAGTGGGCCTTACACTGATCACTTCTATTCTCTGTATAGGAAAAACTCACCTTTTTCTCAGCTTAAACAGGAGCATCATTCAGACTTCTTAATGGTTTCATGTCTTTGGGCTATGAAAGAGTGGTGGCAGATCCTGCCCTGCTGAAGCATTTGTTGGTTTATTTATTTGATTTTGTGCTCTCTCTTATGATGTTATCTCTCTGTGGTGAGCAGCAGCCTCTGTACATCTCCTCATACGATGCCTGTAATCTCTTTTCTGACCTGCAGCAGAGGAGCTGAGCTCACTGTTTGAAAAGAAGAATTTTCGGGTGAAATCCCCGTGTTCTGGGAAGCAGTCCATCCTCTCTGTGCGACTGGAGCAGTGTCCACTGCAGCTCAACAACCCCTTCAATGAGTACTCCAAATTCGACGGCAAGGTGAGGAACCAGGGGTTTGTGGGGGGCCAGGGGAGCCCTGGCAGGGCCAGGCTCTGCTCCTGTGCTTTGGCTTCTGCAGGCTCCACTTGGCCTTCACAGCCATCAGGTGTGGTGGTTCCAGGTCCAGTAGAACCATTTCTCCTGTGTCCATTACAAAATTCTGGAATGAGAATGAGATTTTTCATGCCTTGCTGCAGGTCAGTGAGGTGCTGTGAGAGTCCTGGCACGCCTCTCTAGAGATGATGAGACCTTTATATAAATGATTGATTATTTGGCATTAAAAAAACAACCCAAAACTGTTCTGTCTGTCCACACCACAGCACGCCCTGAATATTCCCTGACTCTTGTCTCTGTCCTCGGTGCTCTCCTGAGGTTGGGAGGAGCCATGCTCTGTTTTGAGGATGGAGAGCTGCAGTGTCAGTGGGTGGTGTCCAAGGCCAAAAGAAGCACTAATCAATGTATTTCTGCACAAGTGCTGATTTGTGTAACACAGGGAGCAGACTGGCTGCAAACCTGGCAGGTCATGGGGGTCAGGACATGGATCTGATACTGCTCAGACCGGGGGATAAATGTCCTCCCTGCACTCCACATTGTCAGATATTTCTCTCTGCCATGAACTCTAGAAACTGAAATATAAACTTTGATGTGATGGATCGTTGTCATATTGTTCCAAAACAAGTATAAATACTCCACAGATCTGTTTTCTACTGGATTTGTTTGTGGAATCTCCTGTGGGAGGATGGAGTTTGAGCTTCATTACCATTGTGATGGAAGAATTTCATATTTTGTTAGGTGTTCTTCGAGTGGAAAGTCAGATCCGTAATTCCACTGACATTTCTAGGAGTATCTGGAATATTTGTGAAATGGTAACCTTTAGACTATGAAGTTCACATGCAAAAGCTCCTCTATTGTGATTTTATATTTATTAGCATGTGGCAATTAGTGCTAACTCGGGTTTTCAGGATTCCTGGCCTCATTAATGAGCGACAGCAGCACTTTCATGCTGACAGCACCAAGAGGCTTTTTTCTAAACTCTGGGTTTGTTGTTCTTGTGCCACAAAATTTCGGTTGGGCAAACCTTTAAATGAGCTCTTATGTCATGTATAGCGGAAGTAAAAATCAAATACTGCTTTATTAACAGCATTCTGCTATAATTCCGTCAGAAACTTGAGATACTTCAGCATTTTTCCTTCCCTCTCTGATAATCCAAGCTAATCTTTACTGTATTAATTGTAGTTGTCTATAATGCACATCTTAATTTTCACCTATTGAAGTCAGATACATTTAGCAACTGTTTGGCCCACTGGAAGCAAGTTGCACTCTGCCTGTCAGTTTGAGAGGAATTTGGGTTTATATTGAGAGGTATTAAGGAAATAGCTCAGTGTCACTCAGTTGTGATTTGCAGGGTCTGATACGAATTATCTCAGCTGTGATCTGCAAATCAAAATACCTTCTTTACAACCCAAAATAATTGAATGTGCATTTTGTTAGAGTATAATCTCACTCTATTAATTTTAACACCATTGTTTCTATTACTCTGTTAGTGTATCAATAGTTTGCATATAAAGTTTATTCTCTATGGCTCTGTATGTATTATCTAGTTTAATGCTTGGCTGACCATCTGAGGTATAGAAGAGACATAACTCCATTTGTGAGGTATTTTACTTCAGTTCTCATGTATTTTCAGTCAGTAAAAACACCAAAAATCGTCCAGCTTTTAAAAATTATTTTTAATGATGTATCATATGTCTTGTATTTATTTTTATTGATAATAGATGAGCAGTATTGCACAGAAATATAATTCTTTCAGGGAATAGTGCATGACTTATTTACATAATTAACAGAGCCGTGTATCTCTGGGGGAAATGGTACATAATTGGGGAGAGGCGGGGGGGTGAGGAGGGGCTGGGGGCCTAATTAAACATGTCTTAAAAACACCCTACTTAATTATGTACTTACTCAGGGGGGTCACAGTGGCTCTCAAATCTTTGAGGCTGTACCCAGCCTTTGGTTTGTCCCTGCTGGAGTTTGGTAGGGCAGGTTTCAGGTTGCTCAGTAACTCTCATGCTTGGTGCCTGGGCGAAGCAGCAGAGCTCAGAGCTGTGAGTGGGGCTCTGTGCCCTGTCTGTGCTCCTCTCCTGGCAGGTCTCACCCTGACTGGGTCCCTGGCTGAGATCCCATCAGTCATCCTGAGCTCCCATCCCTGCTCCTGAGCTCCATCCATGCCCCCAGCTCCATCCATCCCCCAGCTCCATCCGTGCCCCCCAGCTCCATCCGTGCCCCCCAGCTCCATCCATGCCCCCAGCTCCATCCATCCCCCAGCTCCATCCATGCCCCCCAGCTCCATCCATCCCCCCCCAGCTCCATCCATCCCCCCGATCTCCATCCATCCCCCCCAGCTCCATCCATGCCCCCAGCTCCATCCATCCCCCAGCTCCATCCGTGCCCCCCAGCTCCATCCATGCCCCCCAGCTCCATCCATCCCCCAGCTCCCCTGCTCCTGCCGGGCTCCCCTGCCCATGTCCAGCCCCACAGCCGGCTCACAGCCCGCCCTGTGTGCAGTGCCAGCCCGGCGTGGGCACCGCTCACACCTCGCAGGTGTCTCTGCCAGATTTAGTGCCTCTTCCATAACCACTTCTGCCATTTTATGAAATAGTAAAATTTTAAAGCACTCTAATTTCTTCCTGTGATGATCACTTCATTAATTACCAAAACAGTAGAGAATATGGCTTGTGAATTATAACTGAGTGGAGGCATTCAAAGCCGCTCAGGGATAACACAACTTTGCCCCACCACTACCCAGGACAGATCTCTGGTTTTCTGTACATTGTAAAACTTTACCTCTTAACAGAAGCCACACATACAATAACTACTCTCAATGCTTTCTTCAAGTTTTTCCCTGAACAGTTAAAGTAAACCTCAGCTCTGGACCTGTTTTCATGTTTTGCAAAGCACACAGGTTGTACTTCTTGGTTAATAAATCTCATATACTCTTTCTAAGAATAGAACCTTTGGTTCTTTGTAATTTCTTCAGGTGTCATTGGAATTGAAAATGACTTGGAGGATTAAGAAATCACCAGCCAAATTGATTTATTTTTTCTGTATGCAAATTAAATTATCACCCATTTGATAAAAAAGATTGTGCATACTTCTGTCTACAGAACTTGAAAAATCAAGTTTTAACCGTTTACTGTTCCAACTTGCTGAGTTTTAATAATGTTGGGGAAAAAAGCCTGGGTGTAAGGCAGAGCTGAAGGTGCTGTGCAGGTGGCACACAGGAGCGTGGGGATGGCTCATGGCAGGGGCTCAGCTGAGATCCAGTGCTCAGGCAGGACAGAGCTGCAGAGAGATCAGAAATGCAAGGAAGGAATTGTCTGCCTCTAGACCAAACTGGGGTTATGAGGCCAAAAGCCTTTCCTACAGGCAGACCAAATGTTCACAAGATATTTTTATTTCTGCTTTCATGACTAGCTGCAAGTGGAGTTAGAAGGAAGTTTGGCTTTTCTGATCTTGTGGAGTTCTCCGGTGTTTGCTTGACTGCTGGAGATAATTTAACAGAAAATTGGTCAGTGTAATTTTTGGGTGGACAAATGCTAAAAATCCTTTGGTGAGGAATGATGCCTCTGTAGTGCCACAAGGTTTCTTGTGGCTAATTTTGGTAATGGGTTAAAAAGTACCAATTTCTCATGTAGCAACTGTTTTAAAAATGATGCTGTAGCAAGCATGGGGGAAGGGATAATTCATGAGTGCTAATTGCTTGGCTGTTAATTTTCATAAGTGTTGATAGAAGCAGTTCCTTAAATTAAACTTTGTTTAAAATGTATCAGGGGAAATATTCCACAATGTCGGGCCCGAAGTGAAAATTAATATGAATGCTGTGGCAATTAACACGTACTGGTTAATAGCTTTTAGCAGCATTTTGGGATGATAGTCCTTAAATACATTTTTGCATGCTGCTCTTGTTTCAGTCTTGTTTGACTGTATGCCTGCATAATCACGAACAAATGTTTTCCACAATCCCCAGTATTAAATAGCTTTACTTAAAAAAACTAGATAAAGAACTTAAGAAAGAAGCAATACTGCTTTAATTAAAATGGAAAATGTGTAAAATAATTAATCCAGGATTAAGATCTCTGTGTAGAAAAAAATGCATTTTTTTATTTCAATGTTTTGCCCCTAAGCTGAGTGAAAGGATTCTCATTTTAATCCAACCAAAGTAAGTTTGCAGAGGGGTTCTTTGTAAAGCATTTGCTTGTTCTGCCAGTTGTAGTGGTTTACTGCACGCTGCTCCCTGAACTGGAGAATTGATGTTGGGACAGTCCTGCTGTGGCTGTGCTGGGGTTCACTGGTGCTGCTCCACGTGCTCCGTGTCCCTCTCTGTGTGGTCATGTATGTTATGATATTTATTATTATAAATAATAAATATTATACAATAATAAATATTATACAATAATAAATATTATTCCAGGAAGAGTATGGGATACTCTGTTCACAGTGGTTGTCTTCCTGCCACTTCCATATTTCCATAGGAATTCCAAAATTTTCAGCCCAGAAAGGGATTATACCTTTCTGTGCTGAAAATGATATTTTAAATGCCAGAACCATAACTGTATGGGATAACACTTTTCAGGAATCGTGCTTGGATTTACTGAGGTGTGAAAATATTTTAAAGAGCTTTTTAAAATTCCACTTTTATGAGAGGCTCGAGGTGCCTTTGGCTTCCTTACTGGGAAAAATAATAAATAGGTGCTATTAAAGGTCATTGCTGGTCCTGTAAAGTAAAGGCCACCACAATAACTTTACTCAAAATGTAGAATAGTAAATACAACTACTTAATGCTTAAGCCTTGTCAACATTAAGGTGAAAATTGCTGGGAAATTGTTCAAAAACCTCTCAGCTGCCCTCAGCAAATTGGCTCTGCAAAACTGGCATCTCGACTTCACCTGCAGCTGGGGTTCAGAAATGTCTTAAACTCAGACTCTGTTCATTCCCTTCCAGCT